TAATAATAATGATGATGATGATGATGATGATGATGATGATGATGATGATGATGATGATACTACTAATAATAATTATGATTATAATTATAGTCTTAGTTTTGCAGAGCTGGAAGACACCACATAGATCATCAAGTCCAGCTACTGTCAAGGAGGCACATAAGATCAAACAAAATGGAAATCCCAAATGGGACATCAGAGGTTGAAAAAAGAGGAGGAGGCTTTAAGCATATATCACAGGATCCAAAACACATTGGAATAGTACATGTTTTTGTCTCCACTCTTTTTTATCTATACAGGGGAAAAGCAAATGACACAGACCTCTTGGAACATGACCAATTAAGAATGCAGGTGGTAAATAACATATAAGAATATAACTTCCACTACCACCCCCTCAAAGCTTCCTAGGCATAAAAAGGTAGTATCGTTTGACTTCCTAAGTTCCTCTGAGTAAGAGGTGTTGTGAGTGCTAGGATGTCAAATTAAATATGTTTCTGGGCTGCAGAGACATATAGCCCCAGCAGATGCTTTTCAAGGGTTTGCAGTGACTTGGGGCAGTCTACCTTCAAAACTTTCTGCCACTAAAATTGAAAGTGTCTTGTTGATCTTCAGTCAAATTAGGATCATGCTGAACATTAAGGGGAATGCATATTATTCCTGTATATAGGCATAATGTGTAAGCATTATTGCTTTCTTGAAAATGCAGCTATTAATTAGCATGTTCGTTGTGCTTTGGTGTCAATATGCACATATAATATATGTATATTTATAAATTGTATAGTATTCCATAAATATTTAAAACAAATGCCATATTAGTTAGTAAAAATGACATGATATTTGTTTTTAGTAGTTATGGAATGCTGTATGTTTTTCTTTACAGTTGCAGTAATTATTTCTTATAGCTGTCAGCATCATAATGCTATATACGTATTTATTTCTATTCATACATCCCCATGACAAACAAAGACAGTATCCTGTGAAACATTCTGGGCATTGCTGAGCAGTAATCCTTAGCATTTGGGGAAATATTTTCCCATTTAGTTTTGCTATCTGTCTTCAGTGCTCCCATGGTTTCTTTCTGAGCCTCATGGCACAGTGGTTGAACTGCAGTGTTGCAGAGAAGACTTTGCTCACAACCCAAGTTCGATTTCAACAGATTTAGGTAGCCCGCTCAAGCTTGACTCAGCCTTACATCCTTCCTAGGCTGGTAAACTGAGTACCCAGCTTGCTGTGAGGGGCAATGCATAGCCTGCATAATTAAATTGCAAACCTTCCAGAGAGTGCTTTAATCACTATGGGGAGGTATATAAGCAGCACACTTTGCTTTGGTCTAACATATAACCAAAGCTTTTTAGAGGACATCTGCAGTTCCACAGCCTCAAGAGCTACATCTCAGGATTAGCTGGTCTTCGCAAGCTTACCACAGAGCTTGATAAGCAGAATTGTTCTGCATCAGAAGCTGTCTTAATATAGACAGAGGTTGGGAAACACTTCCTGAACTTGTGAACTAGCATGTCCGATGCCAAATGTGAGATTCTAGCAGCCACAGCCAGAAAATTTTCATTTAGAACTTTGAAACACATTCATTGTGTGCAGTCAAGAGGATCTAGCTTCCATACTAAGTTGCTGATATATATGGTGCTGCAATAGTAGCATTAATCATCACTATCACTTATTGTTGAGAAATCAGCATTTCAGATAGCACAAAATCAGGGCCAATGTGCCAAGCCCCTGGCTTAAATGTGTTGACATTCACATGGTGATACCATGGCTATATACACATAAACACAGATAAAAGCTGGCTTTAAAAAATGAATCAGAACACATTTTCTTTTTTTTAATCACCTATGCAGGATGCCCATAGGATAGTCTATTCATATTACCTTGTTTCCCCGAAAATATGATAGGGTCTTATATTAATTTTTGCTCCAAAAATGCATTAGGGCTTATTTTCAGGGGATGTTTTAATTTTTTTTTAAATGTATAACCATCTACATTTATTCAAATGCAGTCATGTCGTCTTCTTCTGGTTGCTGCACAATGGTGGAGGGCAGGGTTTCATTTAACTAGGGCTTATTTTTGGAGTAGGACTTATATTACAAGCATCCTGAAAAATCATACTTATTTTCAGGTTAGGTCTTGTTTTAGGGGAAACGGGATATAAACAAGTTAGGTCTTATTTTAGGGGAAACAGGGTGTAAACAAATCTCAAAAACTGTTAAAGTTTTATGATACAGGAATTGCAGCTGGTTCATTTGAATGTTTCTTGGTATCTTTGAGACTATAAACAAGGAACTTTTTCCCTGTTTTAGTGTATACATTTGATTGTATTTATTTTAAGGCAGTTTTTCTTTTCCTTTGCATTAATCTACAAAAGTCAGTGATAGATTGTTATTACTAATTTCTTTTGGTTACAAAACAGAGTAATCTGATGACTTGCTGTTGCTTGTATCATTTGGAAACTGGTCATAAATGTTATAATGCTGACAAATCCTTTCCTTTCCGAAAGAGTTCTCATTAGAAACATGAATGATTAGTAATATCAATATACAGTTCCATCTGTCTCTTTGACAAATAGCAGCGCTCACTCTTGTCTTGGCCTTTGGATAAGTAGATCAATGTAGAAGATACATAGAGGCATTTGATCCCAATCTGGCAGCATCCTTTCCTGGTGTCTGGGAGACATCACATGGAAGCAGAATACACACCAAAATATCACATCCTGTCCAGGCATCATTGTTCATGTTTTGCCTAGTAGAATAGGTGGTAGCACTACAGATCCACCTGAATATGACAACATCTTTTTCAATAAGGACATTACCAGTAGTGGAATGGGTCCAGCTGTGTTGTCCCCACAATACACTAATAGCAGGCTGGTTGCTCACTAGTACAAATTTCTGTCTCTATATAGGAATGCACTCTACTTTCTGGTTCTGTATAAATAAATATATAATCCAAGTAGTATATTATGCTTGTTTTAAAAACCGGCTTTGTAATATTTTGACATTAAATGGAGTTCGGTTAAAATCTGTTGTGTACAAAGTGGATATGAAGTTAGATTGTCTTTTGTATTTTATAGGTGTTATTGCTATTTGCAAAAGAAGACAAACAGAGTGATGGATTTTGGTGGGCTTGTGAGAGAGCTGGATATCGGTGTAACATTGCTCGGACACCAGAGTCAGCACTTGAATGCTTTCTTGACAAACACCATGAAATAATTGTCATAGATCACAGAAATTCCAGATATCTTGATGCAGCAGCCATCTGTAGGTAATTAATTATCGTGTTTCATATGAGTGAACAGAAAAATTATTATGCATTGTTACAATGTTCATCTTACTTTTAACTAGAATGTGAAAAAGTTACTTCTTTGGACTATAATGTCCAGAATCACCTAGTTAGATGACAGATTCTGTAAGTTATAGCTGAAATTAAAAACTTTTCCATACGCCTCTTCTAACCGTGGTGGTAAATCTGCACTTAGGCTGCGCCATGTTAGCGTGCAGTTATGAGGTGTCACACAGTTTGTGTTTTCTTTCATGCAAAACAAGTCTCTGTATTCCAAAAGGTGGTTTTATAAGGTGGTTTTATGTGGGGAAGATGGGAGTTTTTGTATGAATGAGCACTTAGATATGTCAGCCCAGACTTTCAGCCTGATGGTTTCTTTGATAGAAAATGCATGGCTTAGCTTGTGACAATAAGAGTAAAAGGCCTAAAAGTGGGTTTGAAAACGAGAGATGGTTCTCTACAAATCCAAAACAGTATTTTTCTTTGATTGCTAAGAATAAAAAAATTATAAATTATCGAACAAAGATCTGGCTTAGCTAGTATAGCACTATGTTTGTGGTAGTATGGGGTCCTTCTGAATCCATTCATAAAGATATTTGTAGAAATGATGTTTTCAAATAAGTAGCCATGTTAACCAAATATGATAAACAAACAAACAAGTTGTGGCACATTAAAAGGTGTCACATTTATTTCCCCATTGGCATTTGTGAATTTCAGGTTTCAGCTATGCTAGCAGCAGGGAACAAGCTAGAGGGGGGGCGACGGTAATGGTTGGGCTTGATTAGAACAGTTTAATCAAGACTAACCATTCAAATGGAACCAGTTCTTGCCAATGTCATGAAGCTTAATAAATGGTCTACTTCATGATATTGGCAGAGAGTGGGCAGTTTCTCAACTAGCACATTAAGCAAGGCAAAGTTTTTTTTAATTATATAACTGATGAAGTGCAGCAGTGATAGTCTACATACAGTCTTCCCTTTGCTTCTCTTAAAGGTTTATTCAAAAAACTGCCTGTGGTCAAGACCATTGCCATAGATTCAACTGTGGGTGGTTTCTCAACGAGCCCTTTAAGATGAGGCAAAGAAAAGATTATATATACACATATATAACTGTTAGAAATTATTAGCAATAATCTACATACAGTCAAAACAAATTTCTCTTCCTCTGCCCTCTGCTGAGCAGGGGAAGTAATTAATTTGCCAATATGCTGAAGTGGTTTGCTTATTTAAGCCACTTCACGATATTGGCAAATTGAAAGAGGAAGGCTTGCTTTAAATCATTTCCAGCAAATGGCACCAATCCAAACCAGAGCAGTCTTATTCACAGCAGAAAAGTAGAAGCCCCTTGACAGCGGGCAGAAGGGTGAGGGTAGGAAGACTCGGGGAGTGGGCTACAGTGCTCTAGCAAAGATGTCATCTGATCGCTGTCTATAACTGCAGGCTAGACAGCCCATGTATTCAGCCTCATCATATACTTCTCAATACATGCTTGTGTGTGAAGTTAACTGTAATCCACAAAAACCCACATGGAAATAGATCTGTTAGTCTTTAAGGTGCCACCAGAATTCTTTTGTAAAAATAAAGTTCACATGTAAGCATAAGTGATCATTTATAGGTGCCATTTTTCAGATAGATACCAAAGCCCTCTGTGCTGCCCAGAGGATACATGGCCCCATATGGACTGATACACAGAGAATACCAAGTCAACTCTGACTTATGGCAACTCTATGAATGAGTTATCTCGGAAATGTTGTGTCCTTAACAGCCCTGCTTAGCTTTTGTAAACTCAAGGATTTTTTTTTATGGACTCAATCCATTTCATCATTTGTCTTCCTCTTTTCCTGCTGTGTTCAACTTTCCCTAGAATTACTGACTCTTCCAGAGAATCTTGCCTTCTCATGATATGATCAAACTATGACAGTTTCAGTTTTGTCATTTTCCTCTCCAGAGATCGTTCAGGCTTGATTTATTCTAGGACTCACTACAGAATGCCATAACTTCATTTATTTTTCCTCTGCTGTAATTCTTACTGCTGAAGAGGGAGTGTTTTGTTTTCAGGAGTGTGATTTCTTTTCAACAGGAATTACAGATGTAAAGACAACAACAGTCTGGTTGTATAGGCAGTTCTGCTGACATTCAGGAACCTATTTATTTGTTAAATTATATTGTTTAATTAATTTCTGTTGTTGAAAACTGTTTCATCAGAAATGACATTGAATATCCTAATTTCAGGTCAATCCGTGCTACAAAACCTGCTGAATATACTGTAATATTAGCTGTTGTTCCACAGAAGTAAGTATTTTTTAAAAAACACATTTTGCCGATTTCTTTATATAGGCCAATATTATTAATAATAATAATCATGTACATCAAGTCACTTCTGACTTATAATGACTCTTTTCAGGGTTCTCCAGGTTGAAAATACTCAGCAGTGGTTTACCATTCTCTTTTGGGGATGCCCTGGGATTGTGCAACTTGCCCAAAGCCATATAGGCTGGCTCTATTCAAAGAAGGCCGAGTGGGGAATCAAACTCCCAGCATCTGGCTCTGCAGCCACATAGCTAAACCACTGAGCTATCCAGCTAGCTTCTTAGATCATTATTAGGTAAAGGTAAAGGTTCCCCTTGACATTAAGTCCAGTTGTGTCCGACTCTAGGGTGCGGTGCTCATCCTTGTTTCCAAGCCATAGAGCCAGCCTTTGTCCGAAGACAGTTTTCGTGCTCACGTGGCCAGCACAACTAGTATTAAATCTTAACTTTAATAGTAGCACTAATAAAACTGCTCTTTTATGGAATGAGTTTCCATTACAATGCAATTTTTTTTTGGTGTGGTCCAAGCTTCAGTTTTTAATAAACAACTCAAGTAGTGTTAAATATCATCATAATGATTGAAATCCCATTGAGAATTTACACTGTGTAGATGTTTGCTGCCTCACAGTAGCTGAAATCTTATTATTCAGTGCAGTAAATTGTACAAGAGTAGGCCCATTGAAACTGGGAATTTGGTGAGTCAACATCCATGATTTCCAGTGGACCTACTGTGCTTACGGCTTACTATAGTGTAGTAAGTTGCAAATGCAGTACGCCAGTTTGAATTAATGGAACCTATGGAAGAGTTGAATCACCAAATCAATTCAGTGTGCCTACTCTGGTGCAATTTGCTACTATAAGCAACACAAGTTAAGCCACTGAGTCACACCACAGGTATATAAAAGCGCTTACCTACTCCAGCTTCTTAACTAGAAGCAATTTGCTGCTGAAAATTACACCAAAACTATTACTCACATGGTAATAACTTAACACATTTATAGCTAACATGCATTTTTTTACAGAGAGTGAAGTAATCTCAAGATAATATAAAGTAATACAGAATAAAGTCTCTTCTGCTCATTTTACCATTGATCTATGAAATTTTAAAATTAATTCATTTCTCATTATTCTATAGGCGTTTTCCCCACACCCAAAATTTCCTAGTACGTAGAACACTGTTACCCACAAATATATTGGTTTATTGGATTATGATTTCCATCATCCCAGCCAGTATGTCACTGAAAAGAGGATTGCAGGAGTTTTACACTCAGACCAAAGATAAATGGCAACTTGTAATATAGCAAAGCTCCTAGACTTGTAAAAGCTGTGATATTGAACTCTGTAACCAACATGCACTATTCAGCCTAGATTTTTCAGTCTTGCCAAGCTCATACATTTAAAGAAACAAGGGGAATCTACATCTAGAGAACTGATATTAGCAGCTGCATCTTTCATGCTTTGTTTTTCTCTAATTTGTAAGTAGGGGTGGCTTCAGTTTGTTTTTGGTAATTACCAGCATCCACAATTTTCTTCATATTTAGAGATGGAAAGAACCTGAGATTGAAAAACAAATGTGCAGATTCATCTTGTGTAGGCTCAAAATTTTGAGTCCCTTAAAGCAGGTTGAATCATTTTAATGCCAAGTTAGGATTGCCACCTAATATTTTCCCGAGCCGCTTCACATCAGTAACACTTATGTGTCAGGTAGGTACAAAATGATCCAGTCTGGGAAAGGTGTACCTGTTTAATTTGTTTGATTAATATGGAGCTGCATTTAAGTTCAGTTCATTTTTTAAAAACTGGCTTTCACAAAATTCCTCATTTGGGGGTATGGAAAGAATTTAAGGTTTTAAAATTTTAGCTTGTGAGAAAGTGAAACTGACTGACTTCTCACTACCATATATGAAGTATGTCTTTTGCACTGATATACCAGAATTTGACAGATATCTCAAGTGACATTATATTCTGCATTTCTGTAGGTCTCTTGGTGAAGAAGAAGCTTCCGTTCTCCCCCTTCTCCATGCAGGTTTCAACAGAGTATGTAAATGTTTTTCTAAGTTGTTCTTTATATGATGCGAAATTGATTTATTGGTCTTCAGGTCTTATTTTCTTGAAGTGATTAATTCTTCATGTATTCAACACATTTGTGACACATTCAGTTGCAAGACTTTGCCTGATTCTCTGCATTTCCGTTTAAAATGCCTTGAGTAGTAAGCAGAGAAGGTGTGGAAAAATTATTGTAGACCATTGCTGGCTAGTATTTCAGGAAGTGGTACTCAAAATACCTTTGTGCAAGCCTGGGCATGATTTAATGTGACAAATGCAAAGAAAAATTGACCAGTAAAGCCAAGCTGAAGGGCAACCATGTCCTGTAAGCATCCCCCTCCTCACTCTGGCAGGTTTCCTATGTATATGACCAGTTGCATGACTGATCTCGCAACATACTGTACCCAAACTCCTGCTGGATGGTGGATGCTTTCATAATTGCCCTTCTGGACCATGTTTAGGTAATAAGATACTGTTTCATACAAAACTTCTGTACTAAATAGACTCATACTTATCATCTGTAATTGCTTGGACCTCTGTGCTTGATGGTGCAGGTCAGAAGGGGACTGTAGAACTAATTACACCAGGATCCTTCTGTGGACACTAAATGTAGAGCTTGGAAAATTACTTCTAAGAAATAATTCAATCCCATTTCAACATTATAATGTTGAAGAAATAAATTGTTATTGCTTATTACATTGATTTTATTACAGTATTTTAAGATAGCTTACTGGCCGGTTGCTTTTTCATCCCTTTTCTTTATATATATATTTTTGAGACAGCCTTAGGGTTGGTAGAAGAATGGCATAAGAATAGGAAAAAAGAACCTTTCAAAATGCCACTGAAGGTCCATTACAAACTAAATTTTGCCAGTAACAATTGACACTCGTTAGCAATAAAGTGACTTTATACTGTATTGTTTTACTCATGTTACTTGATTATGCCTTTGTTCTCAGAAGGAACTGATTAGTTTCAAGCTGTAGTAAAATGGAACTTGGTTTGGGAATCAGGAGGGGAACATTCGCCTTCAGTGTATCTTTGGAATGTGTTCTCAGGTGATATTTTTCCAGTTCAATCCTTTTCAGAGAGTATTTCAACTAACCTTTCTTTTACCATTTTTCTGTCCAAAATCTGGACCATCCTCTAACTTCTCATCCCATTTTTTTCTACTGATTTTATTTTTTCCCCCAGAGTGGAGAACTTTAAGATGTGGTTATTTCAACCAGGCCAGGATCAAACTGGTTTTTGATTCTAACTTGTTCACTTACCTTAATTATCATAACTGCTCCAGGACTGGCTGAAGTCATAATTTAATACAATGGAAAGGAGCCAAAAAGAGCTATAACGTGTCTCAGATGCCTATGCATCTGCTCTCTTCTCACTGTGTTGCCAGGAGGAGAGTTTGGAAGCTGTCACATCTATTTTTGATTAGATATCTCTTTGCCATCTAGAAATGCATCTTACGTTCATCTTAAATACGTTTAGTTTATGCAATCTGGTTTCAAAAAATGAGGACTGAAGATGGCCTGCACAGAAATCGTCATACTTAACTTTAACTATTAGCTTGTCAGTCCAGGCAACATGAAAAATTGTAGTTAAGTAAAACAGTTCCTCCAGTAATTTGCAAGAAGAAGGGAGGGAGAAGTGTGTGGACCTCATATTTGCTGCAGCTCATTAAACTGAGCTGAGTGTGATATTTATATGTTACCACTGTATCCAGATAGGGACGTGGTGGCGCTGCAGGCTAAACCGCAGAAGCCTTGCTACAGGGTCAGAAGACCAGCAGTCGTAAGATGGAATCCACGTGATGGAGTGAGCGCCCGTCTCTTGTCCCAGCTCCCGTCAACCTAGCAGTTCGAAAGCGTGCAAATGCAAGTAGATAAATAGGGACCACCTTGGTGGGAAGGTAACGGCGTTCCATGTCTAAGTCGCACTGGCCATGTGACCACGGAAGATTGTCTTCGAACAAACGCTAGCTCTATGGCTTGGAAACGGGGATGAGCACCGCCCCCTAGAGACGAACACGACTGGACAAAAATTGTCAAGGGGAACCTTTACCTTTACCTTACTGTATCCAGACTATGCCAGTTTTAGAAAGCTTGTTGATAATGAGATGATTTGGGATGGATTCACAAAAATGATGTGCTTCCTTGTAGGCTCAGTGTATCTTTTTTACTTTTGACCGTCTGAAGCTAGCAACTTAATATAACACCAACAAGCAGGCAGTTTGCAATTGATTCTACGTTTGTTGTGTTACTAGAAACTCACATATGGAAGTTGTGCTGTGACCAGAACCAGCCCAAGAGACTTTGCCCAAGAACAAAATAGTATCATCTCTCCAGTTCACATAACAAAGATGAATGGTCTGGCATCTGAATCTTACCTCAGCACTGCTTATGGGAGAATGTTCTCTACTGTTCCTGAGGCAACAAGCTCATTCAGGGAAGCCAGGACAGGTTTAAAGAGTTTTGTCTTCCAACAGAAAGGAACACCTCATGAGAGCAGCAAAGGGACTGTCCTCTGACTTTTGCTAACTGAGGTTGTTAATCTTCCCATATCTAATGGCAGAACTGGCTCACATGCTGACATAATAAATAGTTTCTAAGGAGGTTATCCTTATCAAACAGGCAGTTCTTGCTAACTTCAGTCCTACATTTTGGGAAGGGTGGGAATAAATCAAACATACAGTATAACCAAATAAACTGTAGGACATCTATAAGAAGCTCACATATAGGCAGATCTGTTTAGTTTTGTGAATTATCTCTGCTACAGTATATCACAGGAGTACACCCCTTCACATTTCATAAATATTTTAGTATATCTTTTCATGTAACAACACTGAAAAAATGACATTTGGCTACAATGTAAAGCAGTGGGTGTACAGCTTGTATAACAGTGTAAATGTGCTGTCCCCTCAAAATAATGCAACACACACCTATTAATGTCTAAACCGCTGGCAACAAAAGTGAGTACACCCCTAAGTAACAATGTCCAAATTGGGCACAAACTGTCAATATTTTGTGTGGCCACCATTATTTTACAACACTGCCTTAACCCTCTTGGGCATAGAGTTCACCAGAGCTTCACAGGTTGCCACTGGAGTCCTCTTCCACTCCTCCATGACGACATCACAGAGCTGGTGGATGTCAGAGGCCTTGCACACCTCCACCTTCCATTTCAGGATGCCTCACAGATACTCAATAGGGTTTAGGTTTGGAGACGTGCTTGGCCAATCCATCGCCTTTACCCTCAGCTTCTTTAGCAAGGCAGTGGTCATTGTGGAGGTGTGTTTGGGGTCATTACCATGTTAGAATACTGCCCTGCAGCTTAGTCTCCAAAGGAAGGGGATCATGCTCTGCTTCAAGATGTCACAGTACATGTTGGCATTTATGGTTCCCTCAATGAACTGTAGCTCCCCAGTGCTGGCAGCAGTTGTGCAGCCCCAGACCATGACACTCCCACCACTATGCTTGACTGTAGGCATGACACACTTGTCTTTGTACTCCTCACCTGGTTGTGGCCACACACGCTTGACACCATCTGAACCAATGAAGTTTATCTTGGTCTCACCAGACCACGGGACATAGTTCCAGAAATCCATGTCCTTAGTCTGCTTGTCTGCATCAAATCGTATGCGGGCTTTCTTGTGCATCATCTTTAGAAGAGGCTTCCTTCTGGGACGAAAGCCCTGGAGACCAATTTGATACAGTGTGTGGTGTATGGTCTGAGCACTGACAGGCTGACCCCCCACCCCTTCAACCTCTGCAGCAATGCTGGCACCACTCATACGTCTATTTCCCAAAGCCAACCTCTGGATATCACTCTGAGCATGGACACTTGACTACTTTGGTTGACCATGGCAAGGCCTGTTCTGAGTGGAACCTGTCCTGTTAAACCACTGTATGGTCTTGGCCACCGTGCTGCAGCTCAGTTTCAGGGTTTTGCAATCTTCTTATAGCCCAGGCCATCTTTATGTAGAGCAACAATTTGTTTTTTCAGATCCTTAGGTCCCATGTTGAACTTCCAGTGACCAGTCTGAGAGAGTGAGAGCGATAACACCTGCTCCCCCTTCACACCTGAGACTTGTGACACTAATGGGTCTCATGACACCAAGGAGGGAAAACAGCTACTTGGGCCCAATTTGGACATTGTCACTTAGAGGTGTACTCACTTTTGTTGCCAGCGGTTTAGACATTAATGGCTGTGTTGCGTTATTTTGAGGGGACAGCATATTTACAATGTTATACAAGCTGTATACTCACTGCTTTATGTTGTAGCAAAGTGTCATTTCTTTAGTGTTGTCACATGAAAAAATATACTAAAATGTTTATGAAATGTGAGGGGGTGTACTCACTTCTGTGATATACTGTATGTCTGCATCTTTGATTAATATGATTCCTCCAATCAGTGCTTTTAGTGCAAAGTCTGTTTGCTTCCTTGTCTGTCCTACATGTTTGTGGACCTGTCATCCATGCAACAATAATGGCAATCAACTTCTTCAGACAGGATCTCATTGAATGTTTCCCTGCCATCAATAGACTGTGTATTATGGCTGGTTTTTGTTGACAGGTTACAGAAAAAGGATCAATATATCAAGAAATATATTTTGTAGGTAGCACAGGCACTTTCTGTGCTTCACTGGTTATCTCCTGGGTTGCTGTTTGTTCAGGGCACAAGCAGATAGAAACAGAATATGAATTCAAATAACGTTTATGTAGTAAATGTAACTGCCATTGGTATTGGTAGGCCTGACTTCCAAGCAATACTTACTAGTCCATGTATACAACTGTTATTTTTAAGTGAAGCTGGCGACACTTTGGAAAATGTGATTATCGGTGCTCACCACAACATTCATCAATTATGTGAAGACCTCCTGCCACCAGTGGTGATGAGCAGGATTGATCAGGTCCCCTGCTATGCAAGGGTGTTGCCCTCGTGCCCAAGGCTCCCTGGTGGAGACTGACGGACTGGTTGACTTTCTTTCTTTCTTTCTTTCTTTCTTTCTTTCTTTCTTTCTTTCTTCTTTCTTTCTTTCTTTCTTTCTTTCTTTCTTTCTTTCTTTCTTTCTTTCTTTCTTTCTTTCTTTCTTTCTTTCTTTCTTTCTTTCTTTCTTTCTTTCTTTCTCCTGAAAAAAAGGAGCCAAGGCAGCTTGGAAAACATTTTAAAAAACAAATATTAAAGAGCTACAAATATAAATGACAGTGTGTAAAAAATGGAGCCTACTACAAAATTGAACTCTTGCATAAAACCATTAAAAAAGATTATGATAAAGAATAGAACTCTTCCATTAAAATATGTCCTCAGCAGCCACTTATTTACTACAAGTCTGCCTGAAAAGAAAGAGACTTCCTAAATACCTTTTCATGGTACTAAAATAGCATCCTTTTTCTCTGACAATCAAAGGCTGTTTACAAAGAGTACGCAAAGGTCTTTTTCATCACTCTTCCCCTGCTCCCCATAAACCAAAAATCTTTACTTGCCCTTCTGTAGGATGCCATGGTAGCTATGAAACAGAAGTGCCATATTATTCTTCCTACAGCCAGGAGCAGCAATTTAATTACAGGCACATTTGTATGATTTTTTTTTTAGGGACTGGATAAATTAATGTGGCAGTACAGTCTTTGCGGACTGGGTAAGCAGAAACGTCTGCTGCAGCTGGTCGCACACCAGCCTGCATGACTTATAAGACCAATTGTAGAGTTAGAACTGGCTGCATAGTTATTATCAAAGACTATGATCCTGATGTTATGCAGTGGAATTCCAACAGTATTTTTCAGTGTACATACCTCAAGCATATTGTTATATCTGTTCAAGACCTTTCTAATCCTCAGGTGTTATGTGATGAATATTAAATTATTCTAAGTGATTCTTCAGAAGGTAGCAAGCAAGCAAGCAATCAGCAGGCTCCAGGAAAAAAAGAGAATAAAATTTACATGCTGGGATTGGAGCACAAATGACATGTCACATATTTACTTGTTTTCTGTTACAGTTATATTCACCACCCCCTAGGAGTTCAAGATGGGTACATCCTCACAAAGCCATGTGAAGTAGTTCATACTAAATGAATGAGGAAGACTATGACTGGCCCAATAGTTGAGTCAGGATTTGAATCTATGTCTCCTTAGTCCTACGGATAGATTCCTTAGTTTGTTTCTCTAACCATTTTAACACTGCACTGGCTGTGATGATGTATCTTTAAAGGATGTTAGCATAGTTTTAAAGGACAAAGCTTAAGAAATGCTAAGTACCAGTACATTAAAAAAGAATATTTAAAAAAACCCTGAAAAAACATGAGGCTAAAATTTAGGGCACTAAATCACTTCTTTTCAGAGGAGCAGGGAAAGGAGAAGGCTGTGTGGTATGTACTTGGTATTGTTTTTCTTTTGGCAGGAGCCTTTGAAGTTTTTTCAAAGGTTTGTTTGCTGACCTCCGAGCCGTTTGTTCTTGTGCAGGGCAAGTAACATCAGAAAAGTATCCTCTGCTGAGGTCAGAGTCAAAGTGTGTGTTAGCTCTTAGAAGAAGATTTCTTTTTCAGATGTCCAGTTCGCAGGCAATATGTCAGCGCAATTAACAGTTTCACTAATGGAAACAGAATGGGGTCTAGTGGATACCAAGCTTATTTTGGTTCTTGTGCAGTCTAACTTCTTTTTCTCAATTCCGTGCTTGTACTTGGCATTGCCAGTGGGCTTACAAGTGCCTTCACCTTGAACGTTGGCTGTCTTGCATTAACTGTGTTCCTGAGACTAGGGGAAAAGGATGAGCATTTATCCTTGTAGTCTTGGAAAGTAACATTACACTTAATGGAAAAACTGGCTTCTGTCTACCGTAGTGTGATATGCTGTGAAGGCAGTCCTCCCAAATTAGTGAAATGCATAAAATGAGGAAGTTGAACAGTACACCACACCAGGTTTTATGAAGGGCAATTACTGGTGAAATGCATAAAATGAGGAAGTTGAACAATACACCACACCAGGTTTTCTGAAGGGCAATTAGCGTATTTTTCCATTTATAAGATGACCCAATGTATAAGACGACCCCCCCTTTTCTAACCCCAAATTAGAAAATTTGATCCCTGCTTTCCCCTTCCTTTTCTTAAGCCATGGAGGTTAGCAAAAGGAAGGGAAAAGCAGGGATCAAAGGACTCCTTTGACTGCTGCTTTTCCTTGCCTTTTGCGAAGCCACGGGGCTTAAGAAAAAGGAAGGAAAGGCTCCCTTGCAGGCTTCAGGTAAAGGCTGCACGATCACAGCCCTTTGATCCTGAAGCCTTTTAATGGCTGCTAAAGCCTCGCGGGGCTTAGGAAGTGGATAAAACAGCCATGAAAGGGCTTCAGGATCAAAGGGCTGCGATCGTGCAGCCTTTACCTGAAGGGAGCCTTCCCTTCCTTTTTGCTAAGCTCCGTGGATTCACAAAAGGCAAGGGAAAGTGGCTGCCTTCCGCATATAAAACAACCCTCAATTTTTTGTCTAATTATTTAAGGAAAAAGTGTCATTTTATACACGGAAAAATACGGTACTCAACCCAATGATAGTCATCTAAACATGACACAATAAAAAGAAATATAAGGAATTATTGGGAAAGTAGTATGAATTGGAAGCATAATAGAGAAATAGACAATTACTGCTAGAATATTTTATCTCAATTGATCATTTTATTAATTCAGAAGCTGAGACTTTGTTAGCAAGCAGAATGACACCTTGAAAAGTATAATCTTTTCTATTAGAAGCAGCACAGGAGCACAGCTTTGCAAGACCACGGACACAACTAACTGCATTTTATTTGTTTTTGTTTCATTCATTATACACTGGTGCCTCGCTTAGCGATGTTAATTCATTCCGAAAAATCGCTGCTAAGCAATTTCATTGCTAAGCGAAACGCGGTTCCCCAAACCTATTCAATGCATCTCAATGGGGGGGGGGGAAATCCAACAACAAATTAAAAAAGAGTCAGAACAAAGTCAAATTTGGTTAACAAAGGGTTTATTAAATGCACTTTATGATTTCAAACATTTTAAACAGTAAACTTTAACTATAAATAACAGAAAAACATTTAAAAAACAGCAAACATGAGGCTGTTTAAACCATCGTTAAGCGAAACAGGGGACCCCAAATTTAATCGCTATGCGAAGCATGGTCCCAACCATCGCTAAGCGAATATCGGCCATAGGGACCATTGCTAAACGAAGCACAAAAAAGTTGCTGCTAAGCGATTTCATCGCTAAATGGAGCGCCCGTTAAGCGAGGTACCACTGTATTACAGATTTCTCAGTCTACCCTGAACTTCTGAATAGCCCAAGTTCTTACCGGTTGGACCCACAGATCACAAACAGTTAAGCGAGGCACCACTGTATTACAGATTCCTCAGTCTACCCTGAACTGCTGAATAGCCCAAGTTCTTACCGGCAGGACCCACAGATCACAAACAATTCCATCCTGTACATCTAGCACAGAGGCTAAGCAGGTTAGCGCTGCCAGCCCCACCAAGTTTCTGTGTTGGAAGTACAGAAGATTCGTCAGCAGTATGTCTCACACAGAAACATAGCAGCTGGCAGTGGAGTGGTTTCTGTGCTGGATGCCCAAGGGGGGCAGAAGGAGATACAAGCCTCAGAGTCCCTTAGCCAACATATTGCAAAAATGAAATGTTTCCAAGCTCTAGTGGGAGGGAACCTCATCTCCTACATGCCCAGTATGTAAATATAATGCATTCCCGGAACAGTGAAGTATTATCCCTTTCCTCATCACAATATTAACCTCCTCCTCTGCCTCTTGGATAATTATGAATATAGGTTAACTGTTAGTATATTAATATTATCATGAAATTACATTATTTTATTCTTAGTATAACAATGGTATCAACAGTCTTGAAACCACCTGATATTTCCTTCTGGTACATGAAATTACATTATTTTATTCTTAGTATGACAATGGTATCAACAGTCTTGAAACACACCTTCTGGTGTGTTTATTATTACAATGTGGACGACGAAAAGAGTAGAGGATGTTTTGAACTTATATAAGATAGCTCAATACACTTATAGTCATAGTCATAAGCATAATATAGTAATTTAACTTTATTAGTTAGTTACAATAGGCAGTTACAAATACTCCTGTTTTGTTTTTCTTCCCAGAGATACTTTGAGAACAGCAGTATCATTGCTTGTTATAATGAGCTGATTCAAATAGAATATGGTGAGGTACGATCACAGTTCAAACTGCGGTATGTAAAAATCATTGTATCTCCTTAATGGGAGTGCCAGACCCATTATACTTTATTGGGATGACTGTACACAATTTCTCTGTGGAGGTTAGGTATTGACCTCAAGCTTATACTCACATGCTAGCTTTTTGGAGAGCTGAAACTGGAATTAAAGCTGTCATTGCCAAACAAGACTAGTTCTAGGATTTAAGGAATATGAGTAAATAAGTAGCCATCTTTCCAGAATAAGGGATATACAAGAGGCATCCTGTTGAGAACCAAACTGTGGCTTTACTCGAAGAGCCTCATGGCACAGTGGTTAAACTGCTGTACTGCAGCTAAAACTGTGCTCACAACACGGGATTCAATCCTAGGTAGCCGGCTCAAGGTTGTCTCAGCCTTCTATCCTTCTGAGATCAGTAAAATGAGTATCCAGCTTGCTGGAGGGCAATGTGTCACGTGCATAATTAACTTGTAAACTGCCCAGAGAGTGCTTGAAGCACTATGGGGCAGTATATAAGCAGCACGCTTTGCTTTACCTCAGTTTGCTGTTTTTGCTTCATGCCTCATGTGCACTCTGTATATCCCATTTTTCTGTTATACCCTCATTTTTAACAAGAACTTATGCACCTAAGAAGAGATTTTTTTTCTTGAACAAATACAGTAGGTCCCCCATATCTGCTGGATGCACAGTTTCATTTATCCATGGCCTAAAAATATTAAAAGAAAAATAAATAAATCCAGAAAAACTATTTTCACATATATTACTAAAATGGACCACTAGAGGGTGCCAGAGACCATGCTATGAATACTTGCTAGTGCAGAATATACAGCATGGCAAAATAAATAAATCCAGAAAAACTATTTTCGCATATATAACTAAAATGGACCATTAGATGGTGCTAGAGACCATGCTATGAATACTTGCTACTGCAGAATACACAGCATGGTATCTGGCCCCCTCTAATGACCAGTTCTGGTAATGTATATGAAAATAATATTTCTGTTTTTTCCCCCCCCTTATACCATGTTGTACATATAGCGTTCACTAGACATGGAAGTAATCCTGCTGGTACTGCCTCACTTCTCCCCCTCAGCCAACTGCTCAGCAGCTGAGCAGGGAGACTTGCTGGAGCAATCGGCTGTGGAGAGAGACAGGGCAGCACCGGAGGGACTACTTCCACAATTGGCGTGATGTTGCTGCTGTTGGACGTGCACGCTGTAAGGAGCCTGATGAGTGGACTGGGCTGGTTCTGAGGGGCAGGAATGGACTGCCATGGGATCTGTGGTGCCGAGCTTCATGTTTGTATCCCCCAGGATATGAATACGAAGCTTCCATGTCTGGTGTTCGCTATTATCCACACTTTATCCACGGGAGCTTGGAACCAATCCTCAGTGGATATGAGGGTCCCACTGTATCTGTGAGTAAAACTAGACTTCATCTTTATGAATGCACATACTCAAACCAACATGTCCCATTATAAGAGCTTGGAAGAATTACTTTTTTGGACTGGAATTACCAGAATCCCAGTATCAGCATCGCTTTTCCAAACCCTCAGTCCTTCTAATGGGAATGAAGAATGAGTGGAACTATACAGTGGACCCTCGACTTACAGACGGCTCGACTTACAGACTTTTCAACTTGCAGCCACCATTCTAATATGGATTAATTCCGTAAGTAGAGGGTCCACTGTAGATGACTGTCCTGTAACCCCTGCTTCATTTATTAATGTTGCTCCAGCTATTTTTATTTGGCCAAGTTTACTTATGGTTACGAAACCTGTCTGAAGGCAGAAGTGGAGAGGCATTGAAATGGCCTCAGCAGCCATTTGAAAGAATAAATAGCAGGAGAAGCTTAAGTACTTAGCGTTTTCCTCATGATATCTAGCTGAATCATAGGAATACATATTTCAGACTTCTTGTTCATACTTGAATCTCATACTGTCACAGAGATGCATTATTTTTTAAGCGAAAAGTTTTGATGAAATTATAAAGATACAAACTGAGCAAAAGCTCAAAAATGGCATCCAGGCGTGTCACACAAATTTCTTACTGGTTGTGGATGAGGGATGTTATTGTCCTGCATATGAGGCAGGCAATAAGTGGGGCATCATTATGCACAATTGGTATGCATTGTGTCCTTGTGTTTAAAGGGTATTTTGTTAGTAGAATCATTGTACGGCTGAAATCCTGTTGTTGAACATAGTAAGCTATAACTAGAGTGGTCCAATTGAATCAATAGGTATTTGGTGAGTTAACTTCTCCATAATTTCCATCAATTTAATGGGCCTGTTCTAGTTGAAATTTTCTATGCTAAGCAACACGATTTATCCTGTATGTCGTCTAGTTGAAATTTTCTATGCTAAGCAACATAGAAATCCTGTATGTCACAGTTTAACAGTATATGAGATAGTCAAGAAACAAGCATCTGCACAGATGATATTTTTATAGAAAGCTTTGTATTTTCCATCATTTTATGTATAGTTTGTCCACTAACGTGACCTTGTTCTGTATGCTTATTTAGAGCTTGCAATTCAGTGTTCACAGCACTAGAACATTGTCATGAAGCTGTTGAAATTACTAGTGAACATCATGTCATTCAGGTATGTCAAAGACATGTTTCTTTCTTCTCTATGGGCATTACACTGTGGGTAAAGGTGAATCATAGCTGCTCCTTGGGCATACCCAACCCACATTCTCCATTTGATCTCTGACTTGCAAGCCAGAAATTACCCTGTTTGCAGGAACCAGGACTTTCTTTCTGCCTTTCTTGGGGTTGATGAGTTCTCCCTGCAGAAGCACTGGAAAAAGAAAAACGATAAATATAATGCCATTTATTAACCAACTTATTACACCTTAGGTATCTGGCTGGGAAGCCAGAGGTTGGGAGTTCAGTTCCCCCACAGTGCCTCTTTGATAGGGGCTGGTGATGATCCAAAGAGTCCTTTGCAGCACTGCAGTTCTAAGATGGTTTCAATGGCCTTTACATATGGGCTTTCTTTTGAAGATGATTTTCTACAAAAGAAATGTGCTTAATGGTTACACTGAGTGTATTCTTTAAGTTCAAACTCTACTGGAGTCCTTCACCCTGTTTAATTATTTTATTTGTAGTATGTCAACCCAGCCTTTGCGCAGATGATGGGCTATCAAAGAGGAGAGCTTATAGGAAAGGAGCTTACTGAACTTCCTAAAAGTGATAAAAACCGTGTGGATCTACTGGACACAATCAACACATGCATAAAAAGAGGAAAGGTAAGTGACGAATTGAGCTTCATTTACATTTTAATGCTGAATTTCCAGTAGTGCAAAAAAATAGTAATGAATTAGTCCCCCTCTCTTTGCTTTTGATAGATTACAAATAATAAACAGAAATCCTTCTTAACTTAAGCATCGTTGGCGAAAATGGGCCAGTAGGGCTAAGACTCTGTGGGAGGGAGTTAGAAGATGTGGATGATCTTGTTTTCTTAACTGAGCATTAACTGTTAAAATATTCTTTTGGATAGATGGGTATGAAGGGAACCTGAAGCCGTCCAAATGTTTCTGAATTCCAGTTCCTACCACCTAAAATGGGCAGTTTTGAGGAGTGATGGGAATTGTAGTTGAGAAACATAAAGAGGACCACATTTTCCTACTCAAAACCCTATTTCTTAATTCTAAGTGCATGAACATCTGTTTTAGAGGTATGCTAGATTTTACCTCCCCTTAGTATACTCATGACAAAGTATACATGTGTGCAATCCTTGTAGAAATGTTTGTTTTGACCTACATTGGCCATTCAAGCTGGTGGGTAGTGCCAGCAGTCTCACTTGACATCGATGGGCCATCCACACTTGATCTTAAATGTGGAGGGCAGCTGCATATAGGACAAGACTAAATCCATGTGATACTGCTAAGGCAGCACCAACACTATGGAACCCCCTTCCTTTCCCCTAATCCCCCTTTTAGCCCTTTCAGATATTGGAAAACTAACTTCTTGGTGCTTGATATCCATGGGGGACTGCAGTGGGAATAGGATATCATCCCTTCTCATGACTGCTGGATTCTGCTGTTCAGTGTTGAATGCTGCTCACATTCCCCAACAGTGTTTTTAAGTTTCTATATGATGAATCAGTCCTGCATGATGGTTGTTTAGATCAGAGCCAGGAAACCAAAGAGGATATCAAAATGGTTAATTTCACAAAAAAGGAAGGTGAATATTGAGGTGGTTTGCTTCCACGAGAGGAATGTACTCATGATTGTTCCTCCAGTAAACCAGCAACAGAAATTGGTGTTCACTATACATTTTAATTTTGACAGAGAAGATTGCGGGTTTCTTTTTGAGTTTCTTTCACTTAATTTGTATAGGAATGGCAAGGAGTTTATTATGCACGGAAAAAATCAGGGGACAGTATTCAGCAGCATGTGAAAATAACACCTGTCACTGGCCAAGGAGGGTAAGTATAGCGACAGTTTTTTTCCTGTTATTTGAGCATATATAGATACACAGAATCCAGTAAAGCGTGGACATGCATACATGTGTATAACACATGTACACACAGAAACATAGATATACATATACCCGTATGCAAGCAGTTAATATGAACTTAGAAGAATCGTGGTCAGATCTTTACATGTTGTGAGAATACTACTCAATAGAGTATAACATTTCCTTGCTGTGCAGTGCAACTTCACATATCTATACATAACAGAGGAAAATGCTCAGAGCGCTCCTTAGAATTCTAAAAGAGAAATAAATAATCATGGTGCATTTTCCTACTGGGTATGTAAGATTCAGCTGACAGTCATAAAACTTAAAATCACATATAGTTTGACCCACAGTGTGCCTTAAGAAAGTTGTCATCTCTCAGGATAATTACTTCAAATGAAAAATATGAGTATTATTAGCATATTTCAACAGGTAAGCACTGTAAATTAAACTAAACCTAATTTTACGATTTCCAGTAAACTACCCAGAGGGTAGTTTACAACAAATTAGCATAGTCACCATGTGTACTATAATTATTGTAGTTGGTAACAGTGGATTCTTGGTTTAATCTGGTAGGAAAATCCGACATTTTGTGTCTATCAAGAAACTCTGCTGCAGTAATGATAGCAACAAACAGGTATGTGTTTTCTTGTAGTGAAACAGCTGCTTTTCACCTCTGCATTAACAGACTGGCTTTTGTCACAGAGTTAGAGCATTTTAAAATATATGTGCTAAGTCAGAGTGATTTTAAAAATCAAACTGGTAATATGTCACTTAAGGTATCAAGCAAGATGTTTGTTTCAGGGGTGGATTTCTCCATAGTGTCTGCTACATTGGTCCTACTGCAGAAGATTTGAATGTTTTGATCTTGGTAGAGTGGATGATAGTCAAAACATTCTGTATTGAACAAGATTTTGCTGGTGAAATTTAAGCTTTTTCACATGACATAGAATATGTAAACTAACAGAAGGGGAAGACACCTCTGTCTTTGACCACATAGTGAGCTCAACTATTTACAGCTACAAACAGAATCATAGGTGTATACATAAATATACCATTAATACTGTAAAAGTTGTCTATATGGATAAGGCAGCAGTAGGCAGACTACAGTAGTGCCTCACTTGACGATGTTAATTCGTTCCAGCGAAATTGCTGTAGAGTGAAAACATTGTCAAACGAAATAAAACCCATTGAAACGCATTGAAAACCGTTCAGTGCATTCCAATGGGCTGAATACCTGCTTGTCCAGCGAAGATCCTTCATATGGCGGCCATTTTCGGTGCCTGTAAAGCGAGGAATCTGTCCTAGAAAACAGCAGGGGGCCATTTTCTCCAGCTGGCAGCCATTTTGAAACCAGACGATCAGCTATTTGCTGATCATCGTAAAGCGAAAATCGGTTCCCGAAGCAGGGAACCGATCATCGCACAGCGAAAAAAACCCATTTAAAGCGATCGCAAAAACATCATCTTGAAGCGGATTTGTCATTATACGGGGTAATCTTCCAGCGAGGCACGACTGTATAGGCTTCCAGGTCACATTTTTTCCTTCTAGAACCCCAAGTTCCACCAACGGGATTACATTGCAAAGTACAAAATCCATGCTCTGATGATGTATCTTTATTAGGCTAACAAAAAGGCATAACATTTTCTGTGTGAGCTTTAGACAAAAAAAAGGCTCTTTGTCAGGCATGATGTTACATAAATTGGGGCTGGAGGATTGATGTTTGCAAGTGTTATTCTGCATGCTGACTTAAGATATAAAGAGAAAAATAGTAGCTCAAGAAGATAGACATAGAATTGTGGAGGAAGGCATGTCTGAGCAAGTGGTCAGTCTTGGAATCTGTTTCCAGTCACAGAATTGGACCTCAAATAAATTTTTTTTTCCACATACAGATCTGCTCGTATTTCCTTCTAGGGCTCCTGGGTTTCAGCATCTTCCTTGGGATGTGGAAAAGGCTTTATGTTCTTGCTGTTGTCAAATGATTAGAAATGCGTTCTCATTTACTGGTTATCACCTAGATATCTACCAGTAAATCTTGATCAATTTTCTGCCTGTCCCTACATTAAGGTTTAGAAAATCATGTGTCGTTTTTTCCCTTTTTAAACATGCACAAGAATTACAAGACCCATCATGATGAAAAGTGTATGGGAAACCAGCTTCAGTCAGGTTAGAAAATTATCTTTTTTCATACAGCATCATTTGAGAATATAAACGTAGGCCAGCTGTCAATCTGAAGGATGTGATATACATTAAAACAGTCCCATGGAGGCAAGTGAGAAAATCTTGTATGTGGCAGTAGCTCTGCCAGTTATATGTTTGAAATCAATTTATTACATGGATCAGCCCAGTTCCTTGGAAAGTCTTTGCTTGGAAAGCTGTTATAGGCTGCCATGGAGAAGACTTTCTTGATTGCTTGACTGTGTGCTCTTTGAGTAGAGCAAAAGAGAAGATTCGTAGCATGTAAATTCGGGAACATGGCATACAGAGCGATTTGTGGTTTCAGCAGGGAGAAATCTTCACTCCAAAATTTTAGGACAGGATACCCCATCATGGTCCAGTCATGAGCGCCATATGATAGTATGGAAAATTCAGGAATTAGTTTATATATGGAACAACCTTGATGGCCAACAATCTTCTGATTTATAAAATGACCAGATGCCAAGGATAGGTCAGCTCCATCGCAAGAGGATTCCCCCCCCTCCCTTTAATCAGTTATTGACATTATAAGAGGTCTCCCCTTCTTTGCATTTAGTCATTCTGTTGGTTTTGTGATAGCTATAGCACACGGTTTTAATTGATTTCTAGTTTTTCCTTCTGGAGGTTTACCAGGATACCTCATATTAAATCAAGATTAGCATATGGTAATGTGGTAACACAGATAAAACAAGAAATTAAAGGATATCTGTTCTTTTCTGTATTTTGGTGGATCACAAAATGTTTCTTAATTTCTTTGGCTAGTATTTGGTTGCATGAATTTGGGGAAGATGAACATTTGGATAGTTGTCTCCTCCCTCACCTCACAATTCCAAGAGGCTTCCCATTGTGCAAATAGGTGTGTGGCCAATCTTGCAAGTACCAGAGGTGTGTGGCCAATCTTGCAACAGGACACCTGCCAGAGTGAGATGGGCAATGCTTACATTATGCTTCCATGTTTAGCCAATAGTATATTGGCCTTTATCTGCAAATGAGATATAAATTAAGATTTTTCACTCTTAACAGAGGAAAAAATATGGCTGTTAAATAAATTTTGACGATAATTTTTTTTTTGTAATATTTATAGAATCTCATACCTTCAGATGCAAGAACAGGAAGAAAGAATCCACTGATGCCAAATCACTAGCCTCTCGAAGCAGCGATGGTAAGAGCAATGCAAACAATCTTTCTTACTATTGAAGACTTGAGAGAGTGGCATTTTTATTTGTTTCCCCAGTTTTATTGCAAGATTTACAATAAAGATTTTAGTGCAGCCAACTTCCAACTGCTTTCACTGTTGAGTAGCAGGAAGAGGAAGTGGTATCATTTTGAATAAACGGGAAATATATGGAGCTGAAAAGCATCACTATCCGTTGTTGGCAAATAATGTCTTAATCCATTGCAGCATAACTTTTTACATGGGCCGACTTGTATAAAACAAAGAAATACTGAAAATGCAACTTTCTGTCTATTATTGTTAAAAAGAGAGACCCTTCCCTATGGCTGCTCCCAAGCTTTGGAATGTGTTGCCCTGAGAAACTAGGGTCAGCCCCATCCCGCTTGTCCTTCTGTTTTCAGGCAAAAACCTGCCTTTACAAGCGGGCCTTTAAACAATAAGTGGGAGACTCAGGAATGTTTTTTAAATTTGAATTTAGAGATTTTTAAAGCTTTTAAAAATGTTTTAAAATTGTTTTAATTGTGGTTTTAATACTGATAAATATTTAGTTGTTTTTAGTATAGTTTTTGTGGTATTTTAAAATTTGTGATTATTATATAGTTTATTGTGAGCTGCCTTGGGTCCCCTGTAGGGAGAAATGAGGCATATAAATAACTAAAAAAAATTAAGTAAATGAAATGCATGCATATATTTTAATGGCAGCCCCAAGTTTGCAGAATCGTCGGTATTCATCAATGGCAAGAATCCACTCCATGACAATAGAGGCTCCAATCACAAAGGTAAGACCCAGAAACCTTCCAGTGTAATTTCAGATATCAGCCATCTTCTGAAAGAAGCTGAATCAACCAAGTTTATCAGGACAGTCAGATATCTTGTGATACATTCTCACTTTAGTTGTAGTGCGGAAGATGAGTACTTGGACTTAATGTGTTAAGACTACCCAGTTTTTGACCTGAGCTCATATAAATGCTCAAATAAATGTTCTCTGTTGTTTCACAGGTTTCTAAAAATTGCTTCTAAATACATGTGTGGAAACTTACAAGAAAAACTATGTTTTTCTAAAATAGTAACTAATGCTTTATAAACTGCAAGCATTGACAAGTAATTAATGGAAATGTTACATATTCCAATTTTAATCATATAGGAAATGTGCAATCAGTTGGGCTGTGGGGTTGAGTTTTTGCTTTACGACTATTTAACTGTTACTGAAAATGGAATGGAAAACGAAATATTAAACACATCTATTAGTTATTCATTATAGGGCTGATCCATCCAACAGCATGTTTCTACAAGCTAAAGTAGGAGAGGTGCAATTCCTCTCTACCAGGCAACTCCTTCCAAATATGCCCTCAAAGCTCTGGATCTGGTTTCTGGTTCCACAGGGCAAGTGCAGCGATGGAAAATCTTGATGCTGCACAAGGATTGTGTTGGTTCTAGGCCATCGTTGTCTTACTCTTCTTCCAAATGTCTTCGAAAAGACATTCTCTTGAAAAGAAAGAAGTAGCGTGGACACTTAGGCATTAGCAATACATTGAGATTATTCTGTTTACAGGCAATGTGTATGTTAAGACCTAACATTTTCATGTAGATCTGTAATGATATGAAATCAAACACATGTTTTATTTTGGTTTTGTTGCATATTATTTTTCTCTCTGCCTCTATAGGTCATTAACATAATCAATTCTGCTCAAGAGAACAGTCCTGTAACTGTAGCAGAGGCTTTGGATAGGGTTTTGGAAATCCTGCGAACAACAGAACTTTACTCACCTCAGCTAGGAACCAAAGATGAAGATCCTCATACTAGTGATCTCGTTGGAGGGCTGATGACTGTGAGTAACAAGACACAAATCAATGCTACAACAGAATCACTGCACAGATCTGGATTCTAGGGTGTTTTGGTGCTCCTTCTGGCTGCGAATCTGGCAATCAGACTGACCCTCCTCTACTGAAGTGCAGATTATTTTATTCCAGATAAGGAGGCAGCCATAGCATGAGATGAAGGGACGAGGTCATCAGATTTTGGGCACCATTAGGGGCACTGGAGTAAGAGAGAAGCAGGGTGGCCATTTATGCATCCCCAAAAAGAGGACAGAGATGTACATAAACTATATGCATGGATGTAAATGTTGAAATCATTTATAACAGTTTAAAAGGAAATGCATTCCTGTTGCACAAATACCATTGAACTCAACAAAGAATACAATACCTTGCACAACTTCTGTTCATTTCAACAGGACATAAATTGTGGCCATGTTAGCTTTATTTAATCCAAATTTCTCTCCATATAATATGCATTTCTACAAAGTCTTCTGCACAGTTTACAAAAGTTAGGAGTCTGTAAAATACATAGAATACATGATCATACATGATATATGTAATTATTACATCAAAATATATCAATAGTACAAATTATTTCATGTCATTTTTGGTTCTTATTGTTAGCTGCTAAATGTTGTTTTCAATAAACAATAAAATATATTTTATATCTTATTGATAATTGTTGTTTTATTATTATAATTCTGTATTTCATTTGATTTTATACATTGCTTACAGAATGTGCTTTAGAAAACACCCAATAAATATAAGAAAATGAAGAAATCGATATTATCACTAGCACCATAAAACTGTTGAAATTTAGCTTAAAAAACAGCAGCCAGAATCCTATTACTTTTGTATACCAATGTAAGTGTAGCAATGAGGAGTATAAGCAGCAGAGAGGGGTATAAGCAGCAACTGCTTAACTAGCAGCAATTCACTTCTGACCAATCAGAGAGAGGCCAGACAGGAGAGAGAAAGTGATCACTCAGATACAAGCATGACGTGCCAGGCTAAGCTTGCCAGTGCTTGCAACCCCTTTTAGGCATTGTGGGGTGGAAGTAACAGGTATATACTCAGTTTAGGGGCTGTTGTGTCGTCTTTGGTCATAAGTGATAGGAGAGGCTTACATCCACTTGGTTAAAGCCATATCCTGTCATCCTTGATTTCACCAAAATTGATTTATTTTTGTAAAGAATATATGTATTAATTAACTACAGAACAGACATTATGTTGCACTGAATTGTCAGTGGCACTGTCTTGAATGTTATGAATACTGTTTCTGCATATAATTTTGTGGCAACTTCGAGCTTATTATTTATATTGCATAGTACATAAACTTAGTAATAATATCCTTAACTATTTTCCCCTTCTGCTTCTTTAATGATACCATATTTTGAGAGTGCATGTTACCCATTGTCACTTTTGCTGTGTGGAATCCTGCATTGTAAAGTTGTTTTTTATTTCATCCAGGATGGCTTGAGAAGGGTGTCAGGAAATGAATACATAGTTTCTAAAAGTAAGTTTCAACGCCAAAGTCTTTTTATGTACATCTGTTCCATTTATTGTTAACATTGCAAAACGATGTACAGTGGTGCCTCGCTTAGCGATCGCTCCGTTGAGCGACGAAATCGCTTAGTGACGGAGTTTAAGCAATCGCAAAAGCGATCGCTTAGCGATGGTCCCTATGGGGAAATTTGCTTTGCGATGATCGTGGGGAAGCGATCATAGCAAAGCCCCCATGTTCGGCCAGCTGATCGGCGGTTTCAGAATGGCCACCGGGTAAACAAAATGGCCACCCGCTGTGTGTCCTCGCTTTAGAGGCACCGAAAATTGCCGCCCCATGGATGATTTTCGCGTAAGGTTAGTTTTGAAGCCCATAGGAACGCATTAATGGCGTTTTAATGCATTTCTATGGGCTTTTAAATTCCGTTTAGCGATGAAATCGCTTAGCAACGTTTTTTCCTGCACGGATTAACGTCGCTAAGCAAGGCACCACTGTACTCTTACTCAAAATCAAAGGTATGAACAAAGAATCCATCAGCTGTGCTTTTTGTATCTTATTGTTAAAAAAATCAAACATTTATTTGCTTTTCGTGAAAAGAAGATGCATTCTCATACAGTGATTGAGTTTATTATCTACCGTTTCCTGTCTCCAAAATCCTTTATGCAATTGACTTTCCCTGAAAAGAGCCAACTGTGTTGTGAGATGGGAAACGGTCCTTAAATAGACTCATCCATAGCCACAAAAAGGGACGTGGTGGCGCTTAAGGGATGTGGTGGCGCTGTAGGCTAAACCACAGTAGCCTGTGCTGCAGGGTCAGAAGACCAGCAGTCGTAAGATCGAATCCACGTGATGGGGTGAGCTCCCATTGCTTTGTCCCAGCTCTTCGCCAACCTAGCAGTTCGAAAGCATGTAAATGCGAGTAGATAAATAGGTACCATCTTGGTGGGAAGGTAAAATGGCATTTCCTAGTCATGCTGGCCATGTGACAATGGAAACTGTCTTCGGACAAGCGCTTGAAAAACGGGATGAGCACTGCCCCCTAGAGTCTGACACGACTGGGCTAAAAAAAATGTCAAGGAGAACCTTTACCTTTTTATAGCCACAAAGGCAGTTCCAAACTCTCTGTTTACAGTGTGTGAAGAAAGGAAGGAGGGAGGGAGGGAGAGAACCCTATAGATTTGGATTAATATTTTCGGTGTATTTTAGCTTGTTAGTGAAATAACTTGGCAGCAGCCCCAATCAGCAAAGGCAGATCTATGGGTGTATCTGTCAGGATGCTAAATTGTTGTGCTGCATGTTCCGATGCTCTTTTTAATTGCAAGAGGACTAGCAATTATTTCTTGTGACTTGGAACCCATGACTAGAACTGGAATGAAACAAGAATCATTGGCTGTAAAAAAAATACAAGGTGGAATTTATACTTTTGTAATATTTATTTGTTTGTTTGTTTGTTTGACTTTTATACTGCCCATCTGGCCATAGGCCACCCTATGAAGACAACAAAAACAAAATCAGTACTCGTAAAACATCAAGATAATAAAATAATACCACATAATAAAATAAAATGGGCAAGCATAACAAAAGAAATCCAAATGCAACTACAATAGATTAAATTAATCAGTCAATAAAATTCAGGTTTCAAATTTGCAAACATTAAAAAGAGGCAGCAGCAAAGGGTATTAAGTATGTATATACAGCGACCACTAAGATGGAATATTTTGAAAAGCTTGAATAGGAAAGTTTTGAAGGATTTCATGAAGGTTACCAAGGAAGGGGCCAGGCGAATCTCAGAAGAACATTTTATGCATTGTATACCTGCATGCTCTTCTCACATATAACAACTTCTACAACAGTGGTTCTTAACCTTTGTTACTCGGATGCTTTTGAACTACAACTCCCAGAAACCCCAGTCAGGACCGCTGGTGGTGAAGGCTTCTGGGAGTTGCAGTCCAAAACTCCTGAGTAACCCAAGGTTAAGAACCAGTGTTCTACAAGACAGGGATTGTTTCAGGTGTACGTTTGAGTTGAGTTTGGAAAAAGTACTTTGCAGTTCCTAGAATCTCCCAGCCATCTTGCTGGTTGCAGAATTCTGGAAGTTAGATTAAACTTGTTTTAATACTGTATTGCAATGATTTGTTGATTGTGCAATAAAAATTTTATCTGGAAGTATGTAACCCAAAAGTAATTATTTTTCTAAGCTCTGGTTTGAACACATGGGTTTGGCATGCCTAGCTTTACCCAAGGGTTCTGCAAGTTTTAAGAAGTCCCAGCTTGTCTGTTTGTCACGTTTGTCATTTGGACAGGTACAAGCCAGAGCCATGGTCACCTTTCAGTGCCCAATACCATCAGTGACATTCCACCCTGTATTGCACACTTGCTGGAGAATGAAGAGAACTGGGATTTCAACATTTTTGAACTGGAAGCTGTTACAAATAAAAGGCAAGCCTCCTTTCGGAGAAAGAGAGAGAGAGAGAGTTAGGTAGACACCGAAGACAGTTGCTGAACAAGCTGAGATGTAAATGAATCCTGTGTGCATTACAATTTGTTCCATTCTATGAGTTTGTCTTTGGCAGCAGATAGGGAAGCGAGCACAGGCAGCTATGAGTAGCCTCTGCTTCCTCTTTTCATGCTTCCAGATTAATGTGTAACATGAGTATAACTTCTGAAGGTGCGCAGATACCCTTTTAAAATTCCATGTTAATCACCTTTGTTGCTGTTTGCTTTGAAACAAAGAGGATCATACTCGGCTCTTTCCGCTCAAGCCTTTCTTTCTTGTGACCTTTGTGACTACCGTGCTCTCCCAGAGCATCTACATCAGAGGTCCCCAACCCCTGGTCCATGGGCCAGTGCTGGTCCGTGGCCTGAGCCAGACCAGGCCAAGGAGACAGACCTCCCACCCACAGCTGATTCATGCATGTGCGCATGTTCCAGCTCGCCCGCATGAGCACTACGCTGCAGTTTGCGCACAGGCGCATCCGCACAAGCGCCGCACTGCCATTTGTGCGTGTGCGCTCATTCGCCCCTGCGCACAGGCGCAGGGGGTGCCTCGCCTTACCTAGCTGGTCCGCAGGGTGAAAAAAGGTTGGGGACCCCTGGTCTACATAGTTCCCTATCTCTCCTTTCAAATTCCTCCTCAGAATTCACTTCTTCCATGAGGCTGTTGATGTGTTTCCACCAATGTAGCTAAGTTTAAGAACTAGAGACGGGCATGAACTGCCGGTTCAGCCAACAGCTGGAAAGGTGTTCCGCAGTTCGGTGCCCTGTCCCCTCTGGCAGGGGGCTGCTCTGAGGCAGCGCCCAGAGGAGGCAGGTCAGGGACGCCAGGGTGGCTGCATCCAGAGGAAGGAGGGTGCCAGACTGTGGAACCCTTCTTTGGCTGTCAGCCGAACCAGCACAAACTGCTGAACAGGCGGTTTGTGCCCATTTCTATTAAGAACACTGAATTTCTTTTTATCGCCGTGTTTCCCCCCAGTGGTCCTGCTTCTTTTTGCAAGCTTCACTCAACAGGTAGTGGTGTTTTTAACTTTTTCACCCCATACTGTTAGCCTGATGAAAATTCTACTCCCATCCCCACCTTTTAAGCGTTGCACTGCTTGGCATGGGAAATAAAATGCCAGTGCAATGACAACACCCCTCCCAGGCCAAAATACATCTGAGCTTGTTTTAAGCTCAGGATCACAGCGCCAGAATCAAGATTTTCCTTCCTTCATGCTGCCCTTCTTGTTGTTGTAAATTGTCTCCCCACCTTCTTTTTTTTTAAAAAAAAGGTGTGTGTATGTCATAGAACAACAAAACTGTGCAAAGGGCATGATGTGGCTGTTCTTCTTTCCCTTTCCCTTTCTTGATTGTCTTTCTGTTCTCAAAATATAGATTCCCATCTTCTTGGTACAGGAAGCTGTTACTTTGCTTAGGACATAGTGGCCCCTGTAGTAAGAAGTGCTCTCTCATTCACATAATAGATTGTGACTGTCTGCAGTGGGAGACTCCAAACACAGGGAGTGGGATAGTGCTTGGCTTTCCTACCATGTTTGACCGTTGCCTCTCTAATTATGTTCCAGGCCTTTGGTTTATCTGGGTTTGAAAATTTTTGCCCGTTTTGGTGTCTGTGAATTTCTAAACTGCTCAGAAGCCACCATTCGTGCCTGGCTCCAGGTGATAGAAGCCAACTATCATTCTTCTAATTCCTACCATAATTCGACTCATGCAGCTGATGTGTTGCACGCGACGGCATTCTTTCTGGGGAAAGAGAGAGTGAAGGTACAATTTCTGCGGAGACTTTTATCGTCCCACCATCCATCTAGTCGTTAACTCATTAATATGTTTTTGAATAGTTCGGGGGTTTCTCATAAATTCTAACGGCAACCTCACAGAATAAAACTGAGTTACAGTTTTGTCACCATTAAAAATTAATATTTCCTTTCCAATAGCTGACTTTTGCTTTCACAGAATGGGGAATAAGTGGCCAGAATTCTGTTACACCAGCGTAAGCTAAATACAGTAGCATAAATCGCAGAAGCAGATTGCTGCTTATATTCCTCATCATGTGACTATTCAAATCATGTGACTTGCAATGAGAAATATAAACCACCGTAGCAACAATTCATTGCTCGGATTTACACTATTTGTTTTACGTTGGCATACATTAGTAATAAGATTTTGACCAGTTATTATGAAAGAATCACAAGGAAAATGTTCTCTCAAAGTATAGTAGTGTAAAATGAAATTCGGTTTATTTAACTGTTCGTCCCCACCCCCCAGACCTGGATATATATCTATGTCTCTACTAATGAATGAAAACTCTTTTTCCCCCCTAGGGAAGCCTTGATCATTTAGATGAAGTGGCTGCTTTACTAGCTGCAACAGTTCATGATGTAGATCACCCGGGACGAACCAACTCTTTCCTTTGCAATGCAGGCAGTGAGCTGGCTGTGCTCTACAATGACACGGCTGTCCTGGAAAGCCATCACACAGCACTGGCATTCCAGCTCACTGTGAAAGACAACAAGTGCAACATCTTTAAGAATCTCAACAGGTTAGCTTCTTCCAAATTCTCTTTCTTCAGCGCATGTAGAGCAGGGGTCCCCAACCTTTTTCACCCCGCGGACCGGCTGGGGAAGGCGGGGCACCCCCCACGCTCGTGTGCATGTGCAAACGAGCTTGCACGCCCCCTCACACAAATTAGTGTGCGTCTGCGCAAACGGTGGCACAGCACGTATGCGGGAGCAGGCGTCCTCATGCACACATCCTGTTTCCTATCTTGATGTCCACCAGATATATTCCCGAAGTTACTGAGATATGGATATACATTTCTCTCTAGGTGGTTAAGATAATAATGTATTCAATTCTAGGAAAATAGGAATGTTTGTACTTTGGGCAGAGCTTGGAAAGTTACCTTTTCAAAGGAATGGCCTTTATTATTAATGCCTTTTCTTTCTTGCCCTTACACTACTCAAATTTGCCCAATATATGTTGCATTATTGGTTTCCTTACATTACTTTTCATATCCTTGCAAGAAGTCTTTGCCCCCCTTCAAATGTTCCAGGGCCCCTGAGGGGCTCATGTGTCCCTCCTTGAGAATGATGGTTAATACTGTTGAGTGTGTGAATATGAATATAATGAATGAATTAACAGTGTGGTTCTGTGGCTTGAGTGTTAAGAGTGGATTTGGAATCCTCACTTCATACATGGGAAAAGAGACACCACCTATACGTGGGCAAGCCATGCCCTTGTTTGTCTGAATTTCCTTATTTTAAAAAACACATGGGAAAATAATGGCTTTTCTCTATCTCCTTTCTTTTTAAAAATTCTTTCTCTAAGTCTCTCCTCTTTAATGTGGAGATCTCAAATATCCCAATCCTTAAATACATGTGCTTGCTTTTCTGTGCTAGTACAAAGTAATCCTTTCTTAAAGCCTTAAAAGAGTTTTTAGGTAGGAAAGACAGCACATTTTATAGGTGATATTTACTGTCTTACTGGATATTTTCTTCAAGCTTTCTGGTACCATTGGTGCTTTGGTAAAGTAGTTTGCAGGATATGTCAAATTCCACTGGATTCTTACAACGCCTGTTGTACAGATCAGAAATGCATAACATGGTAATAATGAGATCAGAATGAATTTCTGGATGTAATAATTGTGGTTTTCAAATGGGTATCTGTGTTATTATATACCAGCATATCCAAACAAAAAATAAAAATTTAAAAAAATTAAAGTTGTAGCACCTTAATGATTTTGGGTGTGACTACATTAACAAATAATGCAGGAAATGCTTTTGGGTTTGGGACAGTCTGATTTGAATTATTTTCTACTACATGATATAAAGCTCAGAAGTCCCCACCATCACCATCTGTAGCATTTGCTTCCACTGCTGGGACTTCTACTTTTTCGGAATTAAATGCATTCATATCAGTTCAGGCAGTGTGATCGCTTGAGTTAATGTGGAGGAAATTGTAGCCATTGTATTAGAAGCCATTCTAGCTGGCAGCAAGAGCAGTGAGAGTGGAAGGGCAGAGGGAAAACTGGCTGCCTTTTAAATCCATTCCTCCACAAACCAGGTGCCTGCTTCCATCTTTCCTCCCTGTTTCCCCTTTTCTTTTAAAGATTTGCTAATCTAGCGCTAAGAAAGCTCTGATTTCTCTTCAGATTTTATAGATATAATAACTTAATTTTCAAAGCAAGCTTCTGTGGATACTTCACTTCTTCAAAACTCTCCAAAGTAGTTTTGAATAAGTGGAAGTATCCACAAAAGCTTACATTGAAATATACAGTCATGTGAAAAAGAAAGTACACTCTCTTTAAATTCTATGGTTTTACGTAGCAGGACTAGAGATGGGGGCTTCAGTGGAGAGGCAGGAGCGAGAGTCTCTCAGTGCAGCCAAGGAGTGGTCAGCTACCTGGGGAGGCAGGGACGGGCTAGTCGGGCTCCAGCATTGATTGGTGTGCTGCAGATGCAGAATGACCCCAGCTGCCTGGGGAGCCAGGTAAGTGGAGTGGGGTGGCTGTGGGGAGGGAGGAGAGGAATTAGGAACATCTGGGCAGTGGTGCTTCATTCTTCATGCAAAGCATGAAAACCCCATCTCTAATCAGGATATAAAACAAATCATTAGGTCCTTAGCGTGTCTGAAAATGAGATGAATAAATCTTGGCACAGTGTCATATGTCATGTGTTGTGTTCATTTGACGGTTGTGTTTACCTAATTTTCAGACCTGCTAATGAACATGTGATTTTCATTATGTTCTGATACATGAAACCATAGAATTCAAAAAGGGTGTACTTTTTTTTCATGTGACTATAATAGTTGACCCCTTCATGGATTGCTGCCTTGTCGTGGTGAAGGGGCTTGAGTAATTCAGAGAAGTTATGGCTGTGCCGTGCAGGGACACCCTGCACGATCATAGTAGAAAGTTCTGACTAAATGCGATCCACCTGGAACAGGAACTGGCAAGTCACTCCAGTATGTTTGCCAAGAAAACTCCATGGACAGAAACAAAAAGGCTAAAAGATATGACGCTGGAAGATGAGACCCTCGGGTGGGAAGGCATCCAACATGCTACTGAGGAAGAGCGCAGGACAAGTACAAGTAGCTCTAGAGCTAATGAAGTGGTTGGGCCAAAGCCGAAAGGATGCTCAGCTGCGGACGCGCCTGGAAGTGAAAGGAAAGTCCGATGCTGCAAAGAAAAATACTACATAGGAACCATAGGCAGCAACAAAAAAGGAAATGCAAGAAAGCAAAGTGGCTGTCCAACGAGGTCTTACATATAGAGAAGGGAAACAAAATGCAAGGGGATAGGGAAAGTTACAGAAAATTGAATGCAGACTTCCAAAGAATAGTAAGGAGAGACAAGAGGGCCTACTTAAGTGAACAGTGCAAAGATACAGAGGAAAAGAACAGAAAGGGAAAAACCAGAGATCTGTTCAAGAAAATTGGAGATATTCAAGGAACATTTTGTGCAAAGATGGACATGATAAGGGACAAAAATGGTAGGGACCTCACATAAGCAGAAGCAGAAGACATCAAGAAGAGGTGTCAAAAAAGCAAAGCAAAGCGTGCTGCTTATATACCGCCCCATAGTGCTTCAAGCACTCTCTGGGCGGTTTATAAGTTAATTATGCAGGCTACACATTCCACCCCCCCCCCCAGCAAGCTGGGTATTCATTTTACTGACCTCGGAAAGATAGAAGGCCAAGTCAACCTTGAGCCGGCTACCTGGGATTGAACCCCAGGTCGTGAGCACAGTTTTGGCTGCAATACAGGGGTTTAACCACTGCGCCACATGTGGTTAAACCAAATACACAGAGGAATTATACCAGAAAGAATTGGATGTCCCGGACAACCCAGATAGTGTGGTTGCTGACCTTGAGCCAGACATCCTGGAGAGTGAAGTCAAGTGGGCCTTAGAAAGAATGGCTAACAACAAGGCCAGTGAAGGTGATGGCATTCCAGTGGAACTATTTAAAATCTTAAAAGATGATGCTGTTAAGGTGCTACACTCAATATGCCAGC